ACCAGCGGGGCGTGAGAGTGATGGGCGAAAGGGGCTTTATGCATAAGCTAAGAAGCACCATTGACGGGCAGCAAGTATGTCTGTGTATACTTCGATGTAGCAACGCACTTGATAAACAAGACTTTGGTAACACTAACGTCACATAACCCCGGCACGTACCTGGAAGTCACCAAGTATAATCACAAACATCGGGATAAAAGTGTGTCCTGATTAAAGCTATCCGGAAGTATTTTAGCGAATAATATAATAATGATCTGACGTTCGATGAGAGATATGAAATAATTTTATCATTCATGTGAAATTATCATTCATGAGAATTTCAGACATTATTATTGACTTTTCTTTCTAATATAAGTAGAATTATATCATGATTTAATATTGCATTTATTATTCTTCTTCTTTTTTCTCTCTTCACAAATTTTCTAACTATTATATATAATTTATATGGCGAATATTTGTAATATTTTCTTATTGTTTGTATTAATGAATTATTAATCACGTCATATTAAATCTAATATTAAGATTAAAAATAAAATCAGCATTTAGCGGTAGTTTTGCCTTTGTCTGCAAAGAATTCTTTTATACTATATTTACATATGAATTGTTTGATGTGTCCTTAGTGTTTACATTCAATAAAGTTATTATTATATCACTTATAAATAATGCGTATAAAAATGATTTTCTATAAATACAAGCTATTTAATTTAATTTTACATATAATGTTTGAATAATGAAATAATTCATGAAATTGATAGAAATAATAGGATCAGAAGAATTTGATTATTTTAATCTTACTTCCTGGAGTTGTTACAATCGGCGAGGAAACAAATATCGAGAAACAGACGGCAGTTTAGTCGCGTCATCTCCTCATGAAGTACTGCTTGCGCAGTCCGCAATTGGATATACGATCCACGAAACATATAATACCAATGTATCTCGGTAGTATTTGTCGAGGAAGCGGCGCACGGATGGATAGAGATCTCCGACAATCGTGTAAACGCCTTTACGAACGGCATCGTCTTGAAAGCGTGTGTCGTGGCGCAGGCGATATTCAAATGGCATCAATTTCTGGGAAATTGCTTCCTATATCTACCCGCAACCTGGATGCAGGCCCTCCCTCTCGCGAGAAGGGGGGAGAGTAGACCATATTGGCAGATAGCTACAGCATCGTTTTACAACCCCTTATCTGGATAAGTTACGGGCATCCTATTCGGCGATTCTCTCCCGTCCAAAGTTACGTTGTCGAGGGTGTCATCGATTTCCATGGAAATCCCTGGTGCGTGTAACTCCTGCGCTGCGCCAGATTGCCAGGTTGTCTTATCGCGTGAGATAGCTCTAACTCTGAAGCAGAAAAACATACCAATCGATCGTTACTAAACGTAATGCTCTATCTTCGATTGCTTACTAAAGTTGAAGATATTATTGGACATACTTTTTATTTGCGTTTCAAAAAAGCAGGCTCTTTGCGTCTAATTATCAGAGTTTTGATTTGTAACACAATTTATCATTCTAAAATTGTTGTGATTGTATTTACATTATACATATTTTTTTCGATTCTATTTTCATTCTTCTTGAATTTTGCACGATACAACGAGTCGAAGAGTCAGTCAGTCAAGTTGCGGTAACAATCTTGGAGGAGCTCATTCTTTCTTTCGTCTTTTGCCGCAGAAAAAACACCCGCAGGGCTCAGCAACTTTTTTTCATCAGCATTTTACGGTTATACCAGCGCATTAATAATGCACATGCTTAATATAAAGAGAGGCCCGCGAGTCTCTGTCTAATAAACTGGAAGAATGCTTTATAACCATCCGCGGTTTTGGGCTATGAGGGGCGGACCATGGTAAGGTGGTGAAGGGTGCGCTGGAAGGCGAACTGAAGGGGGTGGCTTTCTTCTTTATACCCGCCAAACGGCCAATCTCTCCTCCGCGCGTCGAAGGAAAGTGGCCTAACTTTCTGGTGTTACGAAGAGACAACGAACTCATTGTACGATATATCCT